TTCAGAGGGGAACAGATAATAAGCAGAGAATTCAGCTGGCTATATATATTCTTAGCAGATTTGAATGATGTCCTGACACAGGTCCTTGTCAAATGTTTGGGATTTGATAGGGTTTTTTCTCCCATTTGAGTCATACTCAGAAGCAGACATCTTGGAGGGGGAAAAAAACACATGGAGCGGGACAGTAAGTACCACAGGAGATATGTCACAGCCTATAGAACAGGAATAAACCAAACTGGCAGGACTAGACAGGTTCCTTTGGAATACAGAGTGAGGTTACTGGCCTCTGCAAGGCCATGTGAACTCAGATAAGAAGTGAATTCTCAAGTGCTGGTCCTTGAGATGGCCAAGGAAGAGAACAAAAGGGAAGCTGGCTGCACAGATTACAGTATTCTGCTGACATCCACATAAGACACTGTTTTACCTTTATGAAAGAAATTTATTCTCGTCTAATAGTAATATAATAACATAAAAGTAATATAATAATATCATGGAGACTTTTCTTTGGTGAGCGGTCAGATTTTCTTCAAATCCATATCTTGCTCCAAACCACAATCAACAGTACGGGGAAGTTTTTCTGTTGTGTTGTAAACTCAAAATTCTGTTCAATATATCTATTCCATAAAATTATGTATATTCCCAATTGTGAATATCTTACATTGATTATTTTTTCCTTTTATGCCTAATAATATTTGAGTGAACTTTATTTTATGTTTCCATACCATCTGGTACTGCAGGGAGGAAAGACAGAATAGACTGCTGAGTTTGTGGCTTGCCTAGACTCCTGACTCTTCGTTAAAATCACTTTACCTTTGTATCTTCTGCTGGGTCTCATGGTTATGCTTTGCTGTGTTTCTCTCTCCTCTTTATTGTGACCTTCTAAACCATTCTCAACATCCTTCTTTTCCCTTTTATCACATGTCCAACATACCGTTTTCCCCTCACTCCAGTCTCAGACAAATTCCCAAATGGATGGGGAAAGTCAGTTCATCTCTGTGACCTCTGTGGAACTTTGGTAACTACCAGGAACTTGGAGTGAAGTACTGAGATTTTTCATGTTGGCTGCCATGTACCATTATAATAGCTTTTGCACATGAAAGCATTCACTTCACTTGTATTTCAATATTTACTGAAAGAGAACTTTGGAATTTTATAACAATTACATAGAAAACAAAGCGTCTTGCTCTTTTGGGGGTTTTTTATGCTCTGTAAATTTATTTTTTTTCAATATTAACACAGTGTTGAATAAAATTCAATACACCCCATCACCTTTGTATCTCTACTTTGTTTCTTCTGCAGATGACATTTCATTAAATGAAAACAGTAACAAAGCTCCAGTAATGATGTCATTAAGATTTGCTTCATTTGTATTCTATTCTTTCTCTCAAAGGTTTTCCCAATTTTGCTTTCAAATAAATCTTGAATCAAAAGTAAACACTCTAATCCAGCAACAGACTAGCTTTGTGCAGAAATACAATTTTTAAACAAAACCTCCTTCAAGAAACAGATTGAAATCACTGCTGAATAGAAACTAATACATTCATAGTGGTCATAAGAATGCAGAAAATTCTACTGTGTAATCCTTCAGAGAACAGAACCTCTCAGTCATGAACAAAAGAGATTAACTTTGTGATCGAAGATTTTTTATAAAGCTTAAGGCAAGTCAATTTTATTATGGATTTGCCCTTTCCAAAGAATCAGTAGATTCTGGTACCTGGTGCAATTACTTAAAATGGCTCAAGGCTTAAACCCAAATAAAAGGCAGATAGTTATCAGTCACTTTTAATGTGATAAACTGAATGCACTTTAAAAAGTAGACTAATTCACTGAGTGACTGAATCTGACCACTTACATGTGTTTTTGGGACCACAAGTCCTGTAGAAGTGAGGTCAACCACCAGGCCAAGTAGAGGAGAGAATCCCTGCTGGAGTCACATCTGGTTTTTGTCATCAAATCACTTGCACAGTGTGAGAAAATACAACCATCTGCCTGAACTAGAAGTAAGCTGCTGAGTCAGAGTCCTAATATCAGTTCTCTCTCTTATGGACTTTTGAGGTTTGTGGTTTTTCATCCGCTAAAAACCAGATTTCTAAACAAGTCTTGCTAAATCCAAGACAGTGGATTTAATCTCTGCAGTAACTGACACAACAGTTACAGCAAACAATTTACATTCCTAATTCAGGCTCTTTTTGGACTTCACATGTGTATAATCCACAACCTGTAATCCAAGGAAAGGGGGGGATAAAAAACCAGCATAAAAAACTGAAGCAGTCAATAAGTGAAAGCCAGTTACAGCATTTCTTACCTTTAGGACCTTTACGACCAATCTCACCAGGGGGACCTTTAAGGCCAGGCAAGCCACGGGGGCCAAGCTGTCCTGGGAAGCCGTTTTCACCAGCAGGTCCTGGAGCACCTGGTGGCCCTGGTCGGCCAGGAAGACCTGGAGCACCAAATTCTGGCCTCCTAAGACTGGCTGCCAGCTGAGCTAGTTGTTCTGCAACAAACAGGGAGATAGAGTTAAGGAGTAAGTGGATTTGAGTGAAGAGATTCCCATGATCACTGAAGAAGAACGTAGTTCTCAACTAACAGACTACACTCCGGCACCTTCCTTTTGTACTATGCTATTTACAAAGTTTATTACATATAAGGTATTATCTTAGGACTACCAGTGGCAAACTGCATAGGCACACTGCACAGAAAAAACTGCAATTTTTTTTCTGAGAAGAAACTCAGCGTTTGCAGACTCAAATTACTTAGATGTATATAGTTTATTTAGAAATGTCCTTATAATTTTATATATTAATTTCAATCATCTAGTAAGAAACTCATTAAATTGCTGTCTCTTAAAAGAGTAAATATCTCTCTTCATTACTACGTGTTAATCCTGTCAAGATCCATTTTTGCAAGAAGGAAACAGTATGAGCACAGTCACGTATGTTGCCTAGTAAGTGCAGGCCTTCTTTTTCAGAGGAAAGAAACCCTCAAACTGGTGCTCAGGAGCTCAGGTTTGATAAATAATTGAACACTTTATGTTAAACTTTTCTCAAGGTAAATCAGCAGGACCTTTGCTCTTAATTAGGCACAGAATCAGCTTACCATTCCAAGGAATGGTCTATGCTGGCTATTCCCTTTTGCTTCTCCCCTTTCAGGCCACTGCTCTAACAGCATAAAAGCAGTCCTCTCCTTAATGTTTCTGTTCTAAACTTCAAATTCATCTTCCAAGCATGCCTTAGAAATAACTTACTCTGGATACAGCCACATACAACTCCGTATGACATTTGCTTTAAAATCTGCAGGACTCGGAAAGACTTTTTGTGTCCACATGTTATTTTGTGTCCACAACCAAGAAATATTAAGATTGTGTGGGACAGGGCTCATGTGGGATAGGATCTAAATTAAATAGGAATTACAGCCAGCAACTATACAAGGAAGCCTTGGCATAGCTGTCTGTGTGCAAAGCCTGAGGAGCTGAACTTCATTTACAGTTGTCTTTTAGCTGACAAGGTTCCAAGGACCCTCTTGGATTGAATTCTAGTCCTTTATTTATCTCTTTTTTTTTCTTTTTTTTTCTTTTTTTTTTTTTAACAACAGCATTGACCATTATAGGGGCTCTCAAGAGGGGTACAATGAAAACAGTCTAGATTTTGCCTGTACCAGTGCCTTCACTGCTAATTCTGATGGTTATGAATAAATTCAAACACCAAATGTGATTTCACTATAATCCTCCTCAATATTACTGTGTCTTTCAAGAGACCACTTTAAAAGGCTTTTTTATCCTATTTATAGAACGTTTTTTAAGAAATACCCTGTTTGGCAATATCAAGAACAGTGATGACTACTGAGAATTTTTGGATCATGAGCAGCATTTTCACTCTGGTAAACTCTTAACATTACAATAGCATAATATCCCAAAGGGCATCTTCAAGAGCAAGTACTGAAAAGTTTCTTTTGTGCTTACATGGCAGCATAAATTTTTAAACACAGTAAATCACATGCACCCAACTATATTAGAAAAGTTTCAGATTTCTGTGTGTGTCACAAACTCAGCAAATATAATTAGGATTTTGAGCATCTGCCTATTGCTTTAATTTTATGGTATGTTATCTCGAGAAAGCCTCTCTCTGCACTCCACTTTTTTTTACCTATTTTTCACAGTTTGTTTGCTGCAATCTAGTAGACTGTGAGTACAAAATGCTAAAATCTTTCAGTGAGGCTGTGTACTTTTATGTACATAAATGCAGCAAGCGATTTGAATACAAAACGCATGTATGCAATAGTATGGAATCAACAGGTAGTTCAGTGAGGCTACAAAGTATGTATAAATAAGGGACTTTCTCATACTGTGCCTACATTCACACCTGGGAAGATTTTCAGCTAGGTCCCCTGCTGAGGCCATGCAATTCGTTCTGGATAAGAGCGGGAAAATCTTGGTTGCCTCCACAGCAATAGATTATTCTAATTAAATGCACCAGAAACATGAAATACTTTTTAGCATATTTACCTTGCATGACTCTCATGCAAACCTGCTTAATGTGCTGATCGGTGGGCTCTTTTCCCTAGGATTTAAAAAAAATAATAGATTTAAAAAACCAGTTGATATCACAGTAAAACTTATAAGTGTGCCTGATGCAAAAAAAATGTTGGCCAGTTGTCATGGTTTAAGCCCAGCCAGCAACTAAGAACCACACAGTCATTCACATACTGCTCCCACGCCAGTGGGATGGAGGAGAGAATTGGTAGAGTAAAAGTGGAAAACTCATGTGCTGAGAAAAAAAGCTTTAATAAATAGAGAGTAAGATGGAGGAAAAGGTGTTGGAAGAAGAAGGGAATAAAGAAAAAGAAGAAAATAAAATCTAAGAAAGACAAGTAATACAAATTAAAGCAATTGCTCATCACCTCCCACCAACTTTCTCCTGAATTTATTGCTGAGCATGACGCCATAAGATATGGGACGTCCCTTTGGTCAGTTGGGGTCAGCTGTCCTGGCTGTGTGCCCTCCCAGTTTTTTGTGCATTTCCAACCTTCTCACTGGCGGAACAGTGTAAGAAACAGAAAAGGCTGTGATGCCATGTAAACATGGCTTGGGAGTAACTAAAACATCATAGAATAGCTTGTGTTGGAAAGAGCCTTTGAAATCATCTCATTCCAACCCCTCCATCCCCCCCTGCTCAGGGGCCCATTCAACCTGGCCTTGAACACTTGCAGGGATGGGGCATCCACAGCTTCTCTGGGTAACCTGTTAGTACCTCACTGTTCTTACAATGAAAAATTTCTTCCTAATATCTAATCTGAATCTATGCTTTTGCTTTGAAGCCATGACCCCTTGACCTATTCCCTTCAGTGTGCTGTAAAGACTGTTTTCAGCACAACTCCAAAGCATAAGCCATATAAGACACTATAAAGAAATTCAACTCTCTGCCAACCAAAATCAATCCACCTGTCACTAAAGAATGTTCCAGTTCCTGCAAGTGCAACTATTCCAGCTGATGTCAATTTGACCAGCAAGGTAAATATTGTGAGTGAGACACCTTTGTGTCAAACATTGTTTTATGCACACTACGGGGGTGGGGCAGGCATAAGGAAACAGAGCTGAACTGAAAGCTGAGGACCCAAGGACCCATCTGTATATAACCCTAAGATTTCTCCGGTGTACAGATGTGTTTGATGAGAGGTGATGTGGCATTTCAGTTTTGCATGCGAACACATCTCCTGATGCAAAACAGGGAGTGATGTGAGTGACAGGCAAGAGTTCAAAAGATACCAATTACATGAAAACAGTACTTACAGCTGGACCTTCACTGCCAGGCAGACCTGGGGCACCCTGTTCACCCTGCAAGCCTCGTGGTCCAGGGGAGCCTCGGGGCCCTTCCATGCCAGGCAGTCCACGACTTCCCTCAGGCCCACGGGAACCAGGGTCTCCAGGATTACCAACCTGACAATGAAAGAGTGAAATTTCAATGGACTGCTATACTAGTTAGAATCATTCTGACATATCAAAATGGTGACAGGAGCTATTCACAAATGCAAAGCAATGAGTGCTGGAATGTACAGTTGTTGAACAGCTTCTTTTTAGGTAAGCTGCTGGAGTCAGGGGTTGGGTGATTTATAAGAGGTCTGTATTCATCAGTTGAAGGGGTGAAGTTGAAAAATAATATATTCTGTCAAATGAGCATTAACAGTGACATGGTCAAGATGGACTTTTTGTCAAAGAACAGAACTGTAGTAACTTGGTTTCTACTTCTCCCCTCATGCATGTCAACATGCAACATTTCTACACATTAAGTGACTCTTAAGTTACAAAAATTCCAGTTCCCCCCTTGCTCCAAATGCCTTTCATTCCCTTTTGTATAGAGTACCACAGTATGACTCTCTATCATCTAGCCCCAGGCTGTTTGGGAACACACAAACCTGTCAGAGCCAGAGCTAGTTCAGTGCCTGTGCTTGAATTTGCTGGCAGAGGGGAAGGAACATCCTCACACAAACTGATGTTGACAAACTGCCTGAATGAATGCAATGACCCTTTATTTCAGGAACAAATTTAAGCCTGGGAAGGAGGAAGCGGTGGGCAGAATGTGTTTTTAAGATTTGTTTCACTTCCCATTATCCTGCTCTGATTTTGATTTGTAATAAATTCAGTTAATTTCCCCAGGTCAAGTCTCTTTTGTCCATGACAATAACTGGTGAGTGATCTCTCCTTGCCATTACCTTGACCTACAAGCCTTTTGTTATATTTTCTCTCCCCTTACGAACTGAGGAAGGGGATACAGTGGCCTTGGTGGGCAGCCGGTGTCCAGCCAGGATCAAAGCACCACACTTATTTTCAATATACGTTACTTTACTGCTGTTAATCAATAGTAGTGCTAACTAAGGGGGAAAACAAACAAAACCAAACAAAACTCCAAAACAAACAAACAAACTCACAAAACCCAAAATAAGCAGCAAAAAAAAAAGAATTCTGTACACTCACAACTTCCAAAATCTACAGGGAGGGGGTGGGATGGAGGGGAAGCGCAATACCCTCTGAAAGAGATGCTAAAGAGGAAATTAAATTACTCAACTGTGGTATCAGCTAAATCCACAAGATGGAGCCATTTCGGTTCCATCTGGGCTGCATCTCAGTCAACTGATAGCTGTCTCCGTTAGAAAGAAACCGAACAAACATGCTTCAAAAGCTGTATCAAGAAGGCAAGAAAATTGCCTTTATGGACTGTACAACCAGGAAACCATCATTCCTTTCTTCCCCAGCCTGGTGAATTATCAGGCTGCCTGATGGATTACTAATACCTGTGTAGATACTCACTAGGACAAGCACTCGAGGGTATCATCAAGACAAGAGGATTTTAAAAAACTAGGTGGATAAAATTATGGATTTCTCCTCTCTTCTTCATGTCCTTCTTGTAGGATCTTGGTGGGCAGTAAACACTCTTCAGCTTTCACTTGCTTAACCCCAAAGTTGCCCAGACCACTAAGAACACAGAGCTTTTTTGTTACGCTCAGTCTCAGTTCCCTGTGGGCAGAACTGTTGGTGTTTTAGTATCACAGCCCATACTATCAGATAATGTAACAATCCCATTCTTCAGTGATCCTGAAATAAAAGAATGAGTCCAGCTCTCAAATTATTTTTCTTATGTGACATACAAGCTTCTGCTCACCTTTCCAATCAAAGTTATCATTTTGCTATTACAAAGAATAAAAAAAAAAATAGGAATCTGGGCCACAAATACTTCTGATTTCACAGACCTCGCAATCCTCCTGCCAGCTTTTTTACAGTGTAAATATTACAGGTTGCATGCAGTCACTGCACTGAGCCTCCTCTCTACACAACACCAGCTGTAAAAAGAGTGCATTCATTTTCTTAAAAAAATATATTTGTTGGCCAGAAAACTGCTGCTGAATGATGCTTCTCTTTTGTGGATTTGGAATTCAGGAAATTAATTCCCTTCCAAAGCAAATTCATTTTAATATTGACTGTATTCAAAATTTAAATAGAAGAAAAGCTGTTGAAACTCACGCAATCTAGTTGTGATAAAGAGCTCAGCTTGTTATTTGCATTATTTTTTTCTTAAATCAGAAAACCATCTATCTGACCCACTAGTTCTCTGTATTTCTGTAACAATGCTATTCGTCATACTTACAGCTCCCTTTGCTCCCGGTAATCCCATGTCACCCTGAGCAAAAATAAGACAAACTATGTTAGAAGAGGGTCTCCATTACCACAGACATTACAAATGTAGTAAATTTTTTTCACTATAAAAAATGTTCACATATTTAGTTTATTTATGCAAAATTGCACCACAAATTAATTACAATTTCTTTAAAAATAAAAATTGAATTTCAGGGATTTTTTCGCAAAATGTCTTTCTCAAAAGCATTTCATTAAGGTGCAAATGAGAAGGCATGTTTGCTATAATTGGTTTTGTATTGCTTATCTTGGACTTAGATACATGGCTCTAACCACAACACACAGCTACAGAACAGGACAAGCTTAGATAGCATATTGCTTGTAAACCCTTAGAGGAAGTATTATTTAATCAGAATTTTATAGTTTGACAGAGCTATGGATATTGGTGTTGTTAGCCCAGACAAAACTGCAACAGAAACCTGGCAGGTGTCTGCCTAATGTGCTGTGAAGAAACCAAATCCCTAGAAGCTGCTATTCCCAGCAACTTTTCTCATTTAAACAACACCAAGATCCCTCTGTCGCTGACTGAGAATAGCAGTCCCACTGTTCTGGAGGTTTTAGTTTTCCCTCTGAATCACAAAAGAAAAGGTTTCAAAATACTGTAATCACTTCGGAAATTGATTAATGAAAACATCAAAGAAAAGGAGTTACTCTTTGAGAGATTCCCAAAAACTGTGTTTTCTCCATTCCTAAATGCCATTCATGAAATAATTGGTTTCTAAAGGTTTACAAAGGTCCCTTTACCTGTTAATGAATATGACATAAAGGAAATATAAATAACAACTGTTATCAGTTTAAAACCAGACTATCTAGAAACACACTTAGACAACCCATAGCATTGCTTCCTGCAATCTGTACAGTGATTGTAAAGCTCAACTGCTAGCTCACCTAGGATATCCAGCTAATGAGGACTCTTAATTAAAAGTCTTTCACAATTGCAAAGTTTAAGGAAAAATGCTCATTTCCAGCACATAACCTGGCTACCATTTTTTAAATAGGGAACATTTTACTTCCTTTAGAAAGATCAAGTTTTTGCTTTGCTGAATGGGGCCTCACAGGACTAGTGTGTTTCTCTTTCTGGAGGAAAACAAACCCTCTTTACCCAAGGGCACTACCCATGTGAATTCACAACATGCCATTCTAATATGGTATGTACACACACACATATATATATATCCCTCCAGCAATATCACAGTGCCACAGCCTTTTCCCAGACCATTCTCCCTTTCCCTAAAAGCCAGTTGCAAATCTTATTTCCAAAGATAAAGTCAGTACAAAATATTTCCCTCAAGTTTGAGTTATTAAGGATATTTATTAACTCTGCCCCTGTTTCAACTGAATTAAACTACCTCCTCATCCTCACTGCTTTAAACATCAAGAATTTATCTGTGTGTGCACATATATTCATATATAAACACTTAATCTGTCTCTACAAATGTATCCATGTTTATATATACACACACATACAGCCTTCCTGCAAGGCAGTCTGAACTATATTATACACCTAATAGAACATGTATATTTTAGAGTGCTTTTCAAATAGCAAGAACAGAGTGACTAGGCCAACAGAACTGCTCCAGTTGGTATAAAACTGAAATGTGACTTTCAGTGATGAAACCATATGCTTGAAGCACTCCAACAAAGTCTTAATTTACAACAACAAAATATTATATCAGGTAAAGAAAAAAATAACATCTTACTAAGTCACCCTTTTCTCCTCCATCTCCTTCTGCTCCAGGTGCACCCTATATCAAAGAAAGACACACTGTCAGTCTTCAGATTAGTCAGCATAATGTACTGTGGCATTTAGTAGAGTGACTTTAATGTTCCATGATTTTTAACATGACTTACTTGTTCACCCTTAGGTCCTGGCTCACCCACTGAACCCTAGAAGGTTAAAGATTGAAAATTAAAAAAAAAAAAAAAAAGGCATTCAGAATTTCAAACTCCAGGTTCAAAAGCATACTAAACGTTCTTCAATCCTCCCTACAATCTAGCATCAATGCAAGAAACCTTTAAAGCTGTGAATTTTTGAGAATGACAATGAAAGCACTTAAATCTTACTGTGTAATCTAGCTGACAGACTACAAGTATGGAACTAGTATGGAACATATAATCCACTGCCACATTGGACAGTACAGATTCTGACTGTTAAACTGTGAATCTCCCCTTTATGTGACAGATGCTCTTGGCAGCTGCTACAGCTCTGCTCTGCACATTGGTTAGAAGCTACAGGTAAAAAATCCAGCAAGTGTATTGCTTTTTCTAGCACTATTATGTGTTCCATATTGCTGTAGGCTATACTAGCCCGTCTAATGGGGATAAGCAGAGAGACACCCACAAATGCAGTCACAATCTTGTCTTGCTTGCTGTTTAATTCTCAATGTTTTTTAGCAAAATTGTGTCTAGAAGTTTGACCATTGCAGTCAAAGCTGAAGGGCTTGTGTCTTAAAGCTGATGTTCCATTTTTTTTTAAATAATAACATTTTTATGTTCCATCTTAGAATTCTGCAACAAAATGTACCTGTGCGGACAGGCAGGAACCAAAGAGGAATAAATTAATGACCTGATTCATTTCAAACATACATAATTTGTTTCTATGCTAAAATTATTTATTTTGTAGAACATTGTATAGTTTAAGAAAAAGTATTTGTGTTCTGTTAGAAAAGCATTCACATCACCCTTAATGGTCTTTAAGTCTGTGCATGTTCAAACATATGCATTCCAAAAGAACTGTAACTGTGCATGAAGTTTGGGTTTTTTCTAAAACAGAGATACAGCATTTTCTCTCCAATTTCAGAGAGTCATTTATTTCATATAACATATAAGCACACAGACTGGTCTGACATTTATAATTTAATGAATTCAGACGTTCTCATGTTCTTGAGAATGAAGAGCCAACACTAAATTATTCACAAAGCTAAACAGCATAAATCACAGAACTATTTAACATTCTGACTTTGTCAAACAACACTGAAACTATTTTGTCTGTTCTCAACATTGTGCCTTACAAATGTTTTCCAATTACTCACACAAAAAAGACATTGATTTCCAACCTAACATCATTTGGAAGATTCTTTTTCTCCACTTACTCTTCTTTAAGGCAATAAAACTGCAAATAGATAAGGCTGACATAAGAGAATCTATTGCTTTTGGAAACCTTGGCCTGTAATGTTTGCATTAGCAAACATAAAAATCACAGCTGAAACTATCTGAATCTATTCTATATTGACTCCCAAAATTTCAAAGGAGATAATAAGGCAAGATGTCAAACTATGAAAACACCCACTTTTCTTGACATACTGTTTATCTACTTGCAAAAATCGCTCTCAAATCATATCCAAAAATTGTCTGCAAAACTGTCAGCATGAACCAAAACTGTACTAGGGGCTACTTTAACTATTTAGCAGCATAAAGGATTGTGTTCCAGTGCCAAGGTCTGGCACTTGGCTTGGTGCCAAGCCGAAGTTTAGCTTTACTAAAATAGACAGAACCAGAGTGTCTAAAACCAATTCAAAATATGTGAATCAGAAACAGTGAACCCTGCATTCAAATTTTGTCAAATTTCACTTTTACATTTTACTTCAATAAAAACACTTTTGATGATAATTTCTTTGGTGATGTTTCATTCTTTAAGTAGTCATCACTTGCATGTTGACAAGGTGTCAGCGGATAGTACCCAATATTTAACAGATTTGGAATCAAAAATGACTACTGAAATATCAAATTTGTGAGTTCTGATGGCTTCTGACTGCTATTTACATGAGTTCTTATCATGCACATATAGCTTACAACAGAACTTCATAGGACCGATCCCAGTGTAGAAAACCATGAAGCTTTGAAATCAGAAAGGGAAAAAATGTTGCCTCAGTCAGGAACTTACTCCTCACAGGGGCTGACCCAAAGACTAGGGTTAACAAGCTACAGATACCAAAATCTTTCCAAACTCTGACAAGGTTGTTTGCCTCTGTATAAGACTGATGCAGTTGCAAGAGCTGAAGGGAAGAGGAAGGATAAAGTGGCACAGTGCTCTCCAGGCTTGACTTGGAATACATACTGCAGATCAGTGCTGCTTGCAAAGCTGCAGCCATGCTAAGCCTGACCCAGAAAATTCACTCCAGCCTCCATGCAATTGAAGAAAAAAAAATATGAATGAAGGATACAAGTGGATGCTTGTGTAAAACCAGGAAAGCTAAAAAGCAATCACAGGATGAGACAATTGCTAGCATATACTTTTGGACTTCAAGGTACTTGCAGAGGGCATTAACCTGACCCTAGGATTTTAAAAAAGCTCCAGGCATAACTTACTGTCATCTGCCAGTTAGATAAGCAGACACCTGAATCTCTCTGGGTCTATATACAGCATCTACGTTCTGCTTTTTATCCTGAAGGTCCAGACCCTTTATACAGCAAATGACGAAAATCAGGCACCTTTGGATGGACGTTGTTAGCACTTCAACAAAGACTATTTATTTTCCTTCCACATTTGTTTACTCAGGTACCTTCAATCTCCCTCTGAAGAATTCTAAAGTGTGAATCGTTACCAATCTAACGAAAAGAGACTGCTCTATGTCAATACTTACATTTGACTAGAAACGTGTTCCTGATCTCAGCATTAAAACAAAACCAAACAAACATGAAAAAATTCCTCAACAGCATCAAAGACTTCGAAACTTATTTTTAAGTACCTGAGCAGCTTCTAAAAACTGCTGAAAACAAGTGTGAGCCCTGTCTAGCAGCCCTGTTATGTACACTGGGAGCACACCAGGGGCAGGATTGATTACTCTGTTCAACTAAGACATCCATAGTAGTGATACCTATCTCTGACCAGGAGTCCTGTACTTCCTTGATTTTCAGTGGAAAGTAAGAGGCACTTTACAAGTGTAATTCATTTAATACTAAAGTAGATGCCTCAAGTAAGAAGGATGAAACAGTATAGAACTGACTATTTCTGTAACCAATACCTCTGAATTTTGGTGAGTGAATTCTATTCTCTGCAGCCTCCTAATCCAAGCTAAGAAACATTTTTGGGTTTATGTACTGTCTTCACTGATATTTATTGAGCAAAGAAAGATATCCTCTGCAGTTATGTGAGACTACCAGGACCAAGTTCTTCCCTTCCCAAAAAATACTGGAAGAAGTAATTATACAGGTATTATTTCAACCGCAGACTAGGTCTGAAGTTCAAAGCTCTATAGTGACCAGAGATCTTGACTCACAATTTCAGATCTGGCTGTCAATGATTTGCTATATGATTTAGGTCTTTAAATGATTCACACACTTTATGAGCTACAAGTAGTTAATGGGTACCTAGAGCATCACTTTCAAGCAGTTAACACATGTACATGCACAGGAAGAAAACAGACATTAATTCATATAAAAACTGAAAACAGTGCTCAAACTGTTGTGTTTACTCCTGACATCAAACTACCACCTGGATGTAAGTGTTCATTTCTTACCCGGTCACCCTTACTACCAGGTAGGCCTGGAGGACCAGGCAGTCCAGGAAGTCCAATATTACCCTGGGGACCCTGTGAAAATAAGTCAAGGATGTAAATTTAGCCAATCTGGTTAAGAATGAACAACTAAAGGTCATACCCTGACAAGCAGATGGGGCAAAACCTTATTCCCAGAACAGACTTAGTTTGATGAAAGAGGATTATCTGATGCAAATAGAGTTGATCCAAAGTACAGCACTTCAAACAGCATTTTATTATGAATTTATTGCTCATAATCAGAACAGAAATGGCTTACAGGGTTTTCTACCCTCCAGTCCCCCAGTGACAGTCTGGTTTTCTTAAAAATACTTCCCAAGATCTTGCAGTCTGCGATCTGTGCATTCCTCTGTAACAGTAGGCTCTTTCAGCCAAGATCTCCCCAGCTATGCTTCTGAATGATACTGTGTAAACACTGCTGGAGCTCTGGTAAAAGGTGGCATTCATAATCTGCTCCATTCATTATTTTCATGTAGCTGTTAGCAGAAGGCCGGTTTTCACTGCTCTGGTTCCCAAGTATACACAGCCCACACAGGACTGCGCAACTCAGTTTTTCATATCCTATGATTTATGGGTTTTTTTAAGAAGATGTCACACACATCTCCATATCCCTTTCTCTAATATTAGCACAGTCACAGAGGACTGAAAAAGAAACTCAACCGTCACTGGTTTCAATGCTCTTTCTGGTACCCTGCATGGATAAACGGGTAAGTGTAGTTCCAGATGATACCACAGTTCCTTGGAAGTAAACATGAGCACTGAACATGGAAAAAAAAACTGCTTACCAATTTCCCTGGTAAACCTGGAGGACCCGCAGGACCTGGCTCCCCTCTGCTACCCTGATAGGAGATAGGAAAACATTACTTTCTGAAATATTTTCTGTGAACAAGGAATAAAGTATCTTTTTTTTTTCTTGTTTAGTGAATTAAACTACCTAGGAGTTGGTTTTAAACTTCTGTTTACTAGAGCAAAAATATCACGTGCATTAAAAACAGTGAAAACATTTTTAGTTAACAGTGGCATTTAATATTTAGTTGACATTAAATGATTCGACTAACTCATTCTGCTGAGTTATTATGCACAATGAAGTTCCCTTCATGGAATCACAGCTGAGAGCTACCTGTTGCAAACATATTTACCTCACTAAGACAACTGCACACTCAGCTTCAGGCTTTTGCTAAGTTTCATCAACTGAACTCCTAAATGACCATATACTTAAAAGCTTGTGATCCCACATGAACAATGGACAAATGTGAAAAGTGTATGCAAAATTCATTCTTAACAAACTCATTTAGGTTCCAAAAAAAAAAGGCTAGACTGTTACAGGGACGGTTTACCTTTAAAAATCCCCCTTCATATTAGTGATAAGCATAAATATGCATTTCACTGGATCTTTATATCTTCACTTGAGACATGTTTATCCATTCAGATCATCATATTCACATTAGTGTAACAAATCCACCTCTTTGTGCGTGCATTTGAATATATGCTCTGGCTAAACTTGATATTGAGTTAAATTTTCAAAGACTTTAAATGTTTTTTTGAACTAAAGTACCTTTTTCAAATGGTTTTGTCTCTTATGATTAAACCTTTCAGAACATCTCAGTAAGTTTTATACCTCTGCTCTCACCTGTACAGATATATTCCTGTCCTAACACAAGCCTAAGTGTCACTTGAGACAGTTTTCTTACTTCCACTGTGTGAATATATAAGGGGTATTTGCTATAAAAGCAACCTATCAAGAATTAAGGTTATTAGATACATAAGTAGATAAACAGTTATATATACAAGTTTCTAAATTATATATATATATATTTACATATTTATATATGTAACTCACAAAAATGTGAATAAACTCATGTTTATTCATTATTATATAAACAAACTCATGTTTATTTATTATGTGAATAAGCATTCTAGTGCTGTATACACCAGAAAATTTAAAATATAGATTTTTTTTCATAATAAGAAAAATATTGTGATGTACTGAACAATAAAAGAAGATGGCAGACATGGCCTTTTGCACCAGGTCATAAATGCAATGACAGCTTCTCACACAAGCTTAGGAAAACTAACTCTACAATTTAAGAAATAATTAGGTATCCTGGAGAGATCACAGAAGAAAACATAAATAGGCTTTTCAATTAATTTCCTTCAAAATATTCTATGGTGTTAAAAAAATTATTTTTTAAAGTACTTTGAATAATTTCTAGGAGTTTTTTTAATGATAAAAAAGACAAGAAAAAGAAGTCTCATGAATCACCTTTATCTTACATCCCAGAAGATGCATTAAACTTTTATTTAGTCAAATAATTCTGTACTGTGCCTCTGACCTGGAATACGAATATATTTCTGATGCAGGAAAGAGGATTAAAATTATGATCAGCATTAGAAATTTGTTTTTTAATATATGTCATAACAACCATTGCTATACAGTGATAAAACAAAAGCAATATCACCTTCCACAGAGTTAAAATAATATAATAAGCCTCTTGAGTACATCAAAGGTTCTGCTGGTCATACAAAAGTCAAGAAAAATCTTCCATTGCATTTTAAATGGAAAAAAAAAAAAATCGATTGTCAAGTATATATCACAGGCATTTGTCAAACACATTGCTTTTCTAGGTGGTTTCAAAGGTTAGTATGCGGAAGATTGGAATAAAAATGCATAGAATTTCCCGTAAACATTGGCGATATGTCTGTCAGTACAGATTACCTCAAACTAAAGACCACCACTGCAAGATGTGCAGTTTTGTTTTAGCAAGTAATAGATAAACTGCAGTCCAAAGAACAACCAGGAATCCTGGTGGCCCATGGCACTACTAGAAAGACTGCAAAGCTTCCTCCAAGTTTTACCTGACTGAAATGGTCCTAGGATAAGATTTACACTGGGCTAGTTACTTGTGATTCCCTTCATAGTGGATGAAGAAAAAAAGGCATCTTAAGATGTCTTCACATAAATATTTAAAGTACCTCACAAGTCCTGTTCCTAGAAGTATCTAAGTTTTCTTCACAGCCTATAGGAGGGTTTCTGTAATAACTGGTTCAGCTGTTGACATCTGTACTTGGTCAGATGAAATGTTCCTCTGTGCTGTAAGTCACTCATAGGCAGTTTTGCCATGCCCTCAGTTCACCTTTCTTACACAACAGCCTCTGTATAACAGTGCATAGTTTCAGGCCACCCACAAATCAATGGGCATCTTACACTGGCTTTAACAAAAAGACAACCAGAATCTGTATGATTTCATACAATTTTAACACTAGTTTAGAGTGAGCTGAGACAGACTGACTTTGAAACACACTGGTAAAAGTTCTACGCCTTTAACAGCATGCAGACTATCACTACACATAGCCCCTGAAGAACTGCAAAGCTTGGTCACTGCCTACAGGTTGTTTCAGCCCATGGTGTTAGACTGAGTAGACCACAAGCACGTTCCAGGACTGCTCTGGTACTTTAATAGCGAAGATAACTGATTTCTGTTAAGTACACTATCACTTAGCGTTTGAGCATTGCTGAGGACAGGGTCATTCTCCCAGTAAGGCACATGTAGAGTGGCAAGTTAACAAAATCTACCTTCCCTTTTTTCCAAGGCAGGATTGCTGGATCAATGAAAGATTTAATGTCTCTCTCACAGTTCTATTAGATCTATATTCAGCCTCTGAATGTAACACACGTAAAAGGACATTACAGGATATACAGCAGACTGTCCTTTAGTTTGTCTGGAATGGTTTTTATCCTCACTGACATCTTGAAGATGATGCTTTTGTAGAATTCTCACAAACAGTTTCAGAATGCCTTCTCATGCTAAATCAGTGCCTCTGGTTTATTGATTTCTTGTTCATCAGTTGAATGGAACAAGAACAAGAATACACCTGAAGTAATTTGCATCTCACTTAGCTGCCCAAATAACTGAAATACTGATCAGAACTGCTTGACAGGTAATCCACAGTGTATATTGTGATAAACTCTTCTCTACTTAAAAAATTGTTTAGTAGTATATGTCATAGCAATTTTAGTACATTCAATAAGAGATATAATTCGACAGGAGATAATTCAATAGAGAATTAAGTTTGTGCAGTGTAAAAAAAATAAAGTACATTTCGGACTTTTAAAAACTTCATATTCAAAGTCTTTAACAAAATGTAACCCATTTATCAATTCTATACTTGTGAGACTTTAACTTACCAAATTTTTTCATATAAAAATCTCAGAGGGATTATTCATTTCAGTTCAAGGATTTATCCACGAAAGTATCAATAGGATTCTTCTTTGACCCTCAGTACAGTATTGAAAAGCATCCAACTAGTATTTGATAGAAGAGTAAATAACCAACTGATTTTCTCTGAGATTTTAAATGTACCATTTCAACTTTCTCATAGTAATAACTAAATTGTACTGCCCTGGATTTTGGTAAGAGCATGTCATCTTTGGAGTGCTTTGGGTACAAGCATCAACGAGCAACAAGTTACTAGCTGCCATTCTCTTCAAAGGTGGTACTCTGGCTAAGTATAGAGGACAGAGACCTTTCATTCTGTATCTACAGTGTTAACTGAAGTCTAGGTTGGTTTTAGTACACTAAGTCCACAACAAATGCAATTTTTACCCAGGTTACTGTTTACACTGCTTAGAAGACAACACTGTGATATTTGCTGACCTCCAGAGGGCTAGCATGCCCAGAAGTCAAAGAAAGTTGTTGTTGGAAGTGGAGGGGTAAACAGACGTAGCAGACAAGAACTTGGCCTCGTTGTTTGGCAAGATAGGGTGGATTGTATGAGAACTGGAGAGACTTGGATCTTATCAGGTTTGTTTGGGGTATGTAGTCTGCAAGTGAGGGAGAAAAAGTGCTATCCTGTACAAACCACACTGTGGAACTGGGCAAGGTCAGAAAGTTTAGCCACATTCGTATAGAGATTTAGGTTTACTGGATAAAAACTGTACCTGGCAAGATGGAAATGCAATTTTTGCTTTTGAGTCTGCCATAAACCATGTAATGCTAGCTAACCCTCCAGCTGTACCTTAAATATAAACTATGACACCACTTGTGGAACACCTATGAAATTATATATATTAAATATGTCCACTAATACCTAAACCTATCCTATAAACTGAGACAAGGACATTTCATCCTACTATACCACCGATATCAACTGCAGAAAGTGACCCATTATTTCAGTTGTGGTCATGTAAAAAGAATATGATAGAAAAGCTACATTTTAGTTATACTGTTATGGTAACCAAAGCTACATTTCAGCATAGGTAAGTCAAAAATGTCACTGAAAACCAGAAAATTAATGTAGCTGAAAGTAACTTAAGATGCTGGAAACAGCATTCTCCTCTAACTTTAGGTTGTCCAATATTTTAATACTAAATCTAAGGTACTTTCCAGGTATGAGACAAAGGCACCTCCAAAGAATAAGAGAGCAAGTCAGCTCAGCTGACCAGGGCCCCTCAGAAGTTTCTCAGAGGGGTTATGGTATCAAATCTTAGGCAGCTGAATATTTAACCTCTGTTGCTGATGTTGGGAAAACTGTATCATAATTACAAAACAACATAAATGTGCTGCCTTGCATATACATCAAATTTGCCCAATTTGCTAGACAGGTATTGAACTTCAAAGTGGTTACTTAAATATTACAAGCAAAACCACTGGGTGGGATACACGTTCTCCAAATGTTTACAAATTAAACACAGAATAGCTGAAGAAAAGCAAAGGACAGACAGGATCAGTATTTTTGGCAGACATGTTATGAACAATTAAATCTTACTAAATCTCAGCAAATATGAAAGAAAATAGTTAAGCAGCTTAGGGAGTATGGCTAAATTCCACTGATTAGGAATGACACTCCCATATTTGAGAATTCCTTCCTTTGGGCCACCTGCCATTGTGATTGATTTAGAAAGATTGCAATCAGAAGAGAGTTTGGTAATTACTTGGATTGGTTAGACTAATGTGAAGCAAACATAAGGTTAACCACGAAAACAATTAGTGTGGAATGGAGTATATGTTTCATTTAGAAAGAAAAGGCAAAATTTCCATGTTGCTCCAGTTGTTTCTCTCATTTACTGAACAGATGAATAGCAACTTCCCCCCCCCCTCAGCTGCCAGTTGAAGTTTTCTAAGTAAAAGCGATAGACTAAAATTATATGTTTAAAGTAATTTTCTCCTAGAGATAGAAAGTTGGGGAAGAGTGTCCCAACACATGACTTTGCCTAGTTTTAAGAACAGCCAGTCATTTTGTTTTCAAACATTTAATAACTGTAAAAGTTTACAGACTCATAGAAGGCCAAAATTTGAATCTGCTGCTTAGTAAAAATACTTTCCCAGCTACATTTCAACATAGTTTAACAAAGGAATAAAGACTGAAATAACATTATTTATGGTAGAGGACTCCACATGTTATTTGATAAATAGTACAGCAGCATTAATTAGCTCCACAGAGTCACTGTTGATAGTGCTTCGGTGTGTAACTTTTCAAAAAACTACACACTGGTTGAAGTGAAAAATGTCTCTCAAAAAGGTGTCTTTTGCAAGTATAGAAAGCTGAAGAGCCAGGTGATTTTTAAATATAACAGAAATATAGGTATGTTTGTTTTCCCTAGTGTAGATACCAGCCTGCTGTCCCTATCAGCAGAGTCAGCCTTGTTATGCCCTCCACAAACCTTCACCAGAGGTCCTTTCCTCTACAGTTCTGGCCCTCCTGGAGATACCAGCCATGCTGTCTTGCCCCAGTTGCGATGTGAAGAATATGGGTAAGTGAAATGGGAAAGTGAAGAGGATCTCGTGTTGCTGTTGCTGTGCAACAAATATGTTAAGGGACCGAAATTCCCCATATCCTGAAAAACATCAAGGTTTTGTCCTACTCCAAGGAAAAAGCCCAGCCCCTCTTGACTTCAACCTGAGTCTTTCATACCAAGAGTGAAATGGAACAAAGGGATAAAGGAGGAAAAAAAGAACTGAAGTGAGTCGTAAAGTGGATAACTCAAAATAAGCAGGAAAAGGGCAAGAAAAATACCTGAATAGTAATGATAAAATCCTCAGGCTTTGAAAGTGGTTATACAACTTTGGTCAAAAACTACTGAGTGTTAAATTTGTGAGAAAATTGAACAATTTGGAAAAAAAATTCAAGAAAAATTCTCTTTAGATCAAATATTAGAGCTTTTCTCAACTTATTTTCAAATTTTCTAGTTTGAGAAGTTTGAAAATTGTGGCATGTAGAATTATTTAATCAGTGGATTATTTTTTCTCCTAGAAATGTAAGGATGGAATTCTAAAAGCTAAAGGCTCAGATGTATCTGCCATATGTACATACTGCAGAAAACAATCTTTATTCTGCCCTGAAAATAAATATCAACTCAGCTTAGACCAAACCTCTCTGAATTTCAATAGTTCAACCCTGTGTCCTTCCTAAACAAAAAAACACCCTGATCATTCCCATTTCTTGTGTAAAGTGTTCCCAAAAACCAGAAAGTTATTCCAGTCACATGATGCCTGTAGTCTTAAGTAAACAGAAGCTTACATATTCAAGGTTCTTGATAGCTTTAAAGAAACTATGGATGAGAAGTAGATTATTGTTTGATGTTCCACTTACTTTACTTTATAATCAATAATTTACTTCCTTTCTCCATTTTATGTTGACCAGAAGTTTTTTCTTTCTATGCTTTTCTTCTAAAGTTTACATATTTTCCATAATGAGTGCACTTTGTAAATACAGACAAAATAAAGGCAAGGTATCAAGATGTCTTGCAGGTCTCTAGAGTGATAAGTGGAAAAATCATTGTATTTAATCTGCATTAAGTATTTCTGTCCATCTACAGGGTTACTAATAATTAACCTTGTATGTCAACCCCTGTTCTACGGACTGCTGATTTTGTAAATACATGTTCACATTGAAAGGATTAAAAGCATAGTTTAGCAGATTACAGTGCCTTATCAAGAGTGGGCAATTACTTTGGTCTGATTCAATTATAATTCTTGTTCCTGTCACAGGTATACAGTATCAGCCTAAGAAGAACAGGGCTGAAAACTTTTTCTAGTTTATCCAACACTTTTAACCACAAAGAACAAAAATAAGTGTTTGCAAGTTGGGTATTTGGGAGGCTGAAGATAGCTGTATATACTTACTATCCTAGTAAGTATATGCTCATACAGTCCCATTTTTGTATTATCCTTAAGAAGCTGTGGACATAGCACCCATACAAATATTCGGTCCAAAATAATGTGGTCTCATGCATTTAGCACACGATAACTCAAACTACAGAAGGAAACAGAAGAAAACCAAATCTGTTACTTGGCTGACTGCTGGTGCATGTTTAGGAGGTAATCCAGAGAAGATTTCCTGACCTCACAAATATATCACGGACAGTGGCTCACTAAGCCCTGTATGAGAATTACCCTGCAATTGCACAAGTAACACTTGTGCCATGGTATGATAGCAGAAGCTCAGAAAATTCCAGGAAACTATACCTAGGGCATCAGTGGCAAGAAAGAAGCTTGAAAAAGCAGTTGCTAATAGAATCTGGAGCTTTGTTAAAGTCATCAGAGTGAATTTTGGTACATGAAAATTTTCTTCAGATCACTGACCCTCTCATCCCTCACAGAAGGATTAACAGCAAAGGGAAATTAGATCAGCTTTATGCAGCTTCAAACCACATCAGGTCCACTCTAGAGGGAACCAGAAGGCAGTACCCAACAGACCCTTTAGTAACCAGCTATCTTCAAAACTGAGCCCTAGCAAATGTCATCTGTTCATTTCCTTGGCAAATTTATGTCCTGCAGCAGGCTACCTGCCCAGCAGCAGTTCCTCCAGTCTTTCAGATTTTTCTAGTGTTCAGGAAAATCTCCAGGGAAAGAATTACAACATCAGTGTTTCCAATGAGAGATAAATACTATACTTCACACCACAACAGCTACATTTGTAATGCCAAGGCACGGGCACAAGCACCATCCCACCATCATCCATGGCATGCTTTTGTCACAGGCAAACTGGACTTTCCTAGATAATGGCCAAGAACAGTTTTGGGGAACACAAGTAAGAGACTGCTCCCCACGAGCAACCTGATTGCACCCAGCCTGCTCTTAGACAAGAGGGGTGTTAAGGGAGTTTAACAGCATCAAGACAAACCATAATAGGCCAGCTGACCAAGTGTGCTAAAGACAGGCTCTAGCCATTTCCTTTACAAGGCAGGACAGACAGCTATTTCCCTCATATCTTGCCCCACTGTTCACACTGCGTGCATTAGAAATAGGTTCTAGCAAAAAAAAGTCATGTTCTGAATACTTAGTCCAAAGTTCAAAATCCCATAATATATAGCTGAGCACCGTAATATAAAGCATAAACTTCCTTAAGAGGCTAAAACGTTAAAGAAAAGAGCAAGTAATCTACTGACAGTGAATTTAAGCTTTTCAATGCCAGGGACGGGAGTAGAGCGTTGAAAAGAACGGAAGCTTGGTTACAGCTTTTAGTCGCAAACCACCCTCATTCCCTCTGTTTGGGCTTTTACTTGGCATATATAAAAACAAAGACAAGAAGAATATAAATAAACGTTTAAAATCTAACTTTTCACCAAAGGACATGTGCTTCTGTATTTCTCTATGTGATGATGTACATCCTCCTGGTACAGAAGAGGGATAAAGAACAACTTTATCAAAAATTATCACTTGAGCTGAATACTAATTTTACGTCATGGGTAGCTTCACAAACCCTAACTTGAGACACTGTAATATTGCATACACTCAACTAGAAATTTAATCCACACTTACTGGTGGTCCCAGGGGTCCTGTTGGACCTGCTTCTCCCTCTGGGCCTCGTTGACCCTGTTTTGGGGAACAAATTTGAAATGCAACAAATTTGAAAAGTAAATTTTTTTTGCACACTGTAAAAAAATTTCATTTTTCTAGATCTTTTGAGTAAGAGTAACAATTTTACCTGTTTACCTGAATTTCCCATCAACCCTGGCACCCCAGGAGGACCTCTATTACCCTGTTGGACAGAAGACGAAAAATATTAGAAAGCCCATGTTTTGCTGTTCCATTTTAAAATAAAAAATTAAATAAGTAAAGCACTAAGGTCTAAAAAGAAAAAAAAATCAGTCTGTATTAATTTTTAACTTCCACTTTTATTTTGGTTTTCTTTCAATTTTCACCTAATTCCTTCTATCTAATTTTTCAAAAGTCACATTTCAGTTCCTTTGTTGTTTATATGCTGACAAATCCCAAATAGATTTGATTGCTGCTCTCACAGAGGGCAATATTATTCCATGTATTTCAGACAAAATTCATGTCTCAATCCAGTTTTCTTTTTCTATTACAATTAAACTCAAACACTATTGTCTGAAACATTTCATAGTCTTACTCAAACAACACCTTTTTAAGCTTAATTGTAATTGATGTTGCAGTTTGGTGGTACCTAAACAGAGATAACAACCTCTGTGATTGAATCAACTTATGGCAGCTATAAATATTAACTACAAGATCCCTCATTTCAACTGTAGTGAGGTAGCTGTGTCACATGCCTCCTCTAGCAATGACTTCCACAAATTCAAAAGGAAATGGCCTTATTAGGTATTATTTAATGTCTGGAATAACGAAAACCACAATAAGTATCACAAGAGTCATGAAAATGCACAGGACTAGAGTTGATTAAAAAATATATTTAATTCCTTCAGCAAAGGCTTGTCTCTTACCACAAGAGGAAGTTAGTACAATCTCACTGAATACTTTTGAACTTGATAAGCACAAATACAGTATTATAAGAAAGTCAATACTCAAGATGTTTTACCTTTGGGCCAGCAATACCTTTCACACCTGGAGAGCCTGGTAAACCCTGAAAGAAATAGTATTTATTTGTTTTTAAGGGGATTGAAAATGGTGTTAAAAAACATCTTTTTCATGCCTTTTTCTAATCCTCTCACTTGATACTGAAGCTCTTTTTTCCAATAACAGACCAAGCTTGAATTCTTTCTGTTTACAAAGTAACAGATAAGAGTTTTTACTCTGCCTTCAAAAACTGCAAAAGGAGCATGGAAAAGGGAGAAGTTGTGACTTTTGCTGGCTTAGACTGGAAATAGATTGTTGATCCCTGTACACTGAGGTTGGAGGTACAGTTTAAAAGATACTTTTAGTACAAATTTCATTTCCTCCTCCTTTCTGTCTAACACTTCATAGCAGGTATGCTTTTATCAAATTTTCTTCCAAGTTGAAGAGTTCACTTAGTATTAAAAATTTACTTCCAGTTCTGTTTGAATACAGCTCTTTCACTACATCCTCACAGCACAGTGTTTTAAAGAGATTTCTATAAAACTTTTGACAATTGGCACAGTTTTCAAATTTAGTTAATGCACGAGGATTACCTTCTAAAAGAGTCCATAAAGCACTACTGATTCCCTACAAGTTCACCACAGGGGACATGCAAGAAAACTCCAATGCCTGTTGCCTGCACGCCCCCCCCTTCTGAAAGTGTGTGTGTGATGCATTCCAGATGTTCTGAGCCATCAAAAGATGACTGTTCATCTCAGGTGTGTTAGACTAGCAGGTCAGTTTTTCCCGCTTGGCCTGGGAATGGGTTTGGCCCCAGGCAGTACAATGAGACCAGCTCTAATTGTGGGTTCACACTGTAATATCGACAGGGTCTCAGATATGCGAAACACCAGAAGTGTGTTGTGCAGCGGCCACAAATGTTTTGTGAGACCAAGTCCCTCACAGTGGCACCATAAGGTGGTCTAGGCTCTTGTGCAAAAGTTTTGGATACATATAGTAGAATTTCCCCTTGCATTACACATACTCTCCCTGGGTCTTTTGATTAGATTTTCGCTTAAATCAGTCCAATATCAGCATCAAATTAACCTATACATGACCTTTCTGTTGTTTGAACTGAATCTCCCTTGCAAAGGTAGAATACCTGATACTTACTGGTAGTCCCTGAAGCCCTGCATCACCTGGAGCTCCAGGTTTTCCTGGTTCACCCTGTAAAACATTTTAAGTTGTAATTTATGAAAACCAAACGTAAGGGAAAATTTGATTTCTGCAACATCGATTTGGAATACTTTTGTGGTATAGGAAACTTCATTCAATTACCCTAATAACGTGCATAAAACCACGGGCAGCAGCCACTAGAGAGTGTACAAATCTAGGGCACTACCAAAGCTCCGACATACGCCTTACTTTTGCTCCAGGCATTCCAGGGATCCCTTCCCGGCCATCAACTCCTGGTAAGCCCTTGAAAGAATTAAAAAAAGAAAAAAAAAATTAATGTATTTTTGGAGAGATCTTGCCCAATCACTGATATTCAAATTAGCATCACATGATGCAAATGAAGAAATTAAATATACATACAGACTCTCCTTTTGGCCCAGGGAGACCATTTATTCCTCTTGTACCTTGAGGGCCCTAATAATAATAATAAAAATTTTTAAAAATTAAACACATTGAAATTACAGATGACAAGAATGTCAACATTCAAACACGTATTACTTTGAGACCACCAAATATACCCTATGTTTATATGGTATTAAGTAGCCAATATTTGCAAGTCAACATGAGTCAAAATTTGTCTGTGCTCACCCTTTCTCCCTTTGGACCCATCTCTCCTGGAGGACCTCTCTGTCCTTGATCCCCCTACAGAAAAAAAAAAATATTTTAGAAATAAAACTGGAATAAACTTCCATGTAATTATTAGCTAAAACTCTCAGAAAATCAACAAGTACAACTCAGACTCAGTTAAAGCAGACATCTCAAACTCATACTACATTTAAAAATGCAGTTATAAGAAACTGCAGCAGACAGTTCCACTTTAAAAAAACATAGCTCAAGCCATCCCTGGGGTTTTCAGGAGTGTCTACCGAAGCAAAGGATGTTGCACTTGCTTGTTTAACCCACTGAGTTACTGGCTATTCCAAGCATAAATTCCAGCTATGGAAACAGGGAAGAATTTAAAAACAACAAACAAACAAATGCACCCTACTCAAAATAAACCCCAAACCCAAACAAGACACCAAAAAAACCCCTTCCAACAAAACCCCAAAGGGCACAAATTGCCCTTTACAGGTTTTGTTCCAGCTTTATACCTGGAAGATTCCTAGTCACCCTAATAGACAGTAACACTCAGAAGGAAGAGGTAACCATAACATACTAAGAAGTTAAAATGGGTTCATCTACCTCACAATTCTTTGGGGATATTAAGAGATTATAGACTTGATATCACTGTAATATCATTTATTCACCTGTGGGAAATTAATAGAACTGGATTAATCAGAGGCTTTTTTGATTCACAGCCACAAAGTTTCAGGACTCAGTGTCTAACTGGGCAGTGTTTGGCTGACATACACTCTACTTACAGGTGCACCAGGAAGACCTTGCGGACCAGGATCACCATCAAGCCCACGAGCTCCCTACAAAATAAGCACATAACACAAGACACTAAAATGAACTGCTGGAACACAAACAACTTAAGCATCCATCTGGTTGGCTGGCAGCTGCAAATTCTCTACAACTCAGGGGTTTTACAGTTCCAATTAAAAAAAAAAAAAAAAAAAGAAGGAAAAAAAAGGTAAATTTTTCTTAATCTATCTTGTTTTTTATGGAGTTATGAAAGAAAATATTTTTTAACTACAGAAAAATATCAGTCAAAAAATTACATTCATATCATTCTCTAAAAAAACACACTGGACATTGAGGAGTAGACCTTCACACACTACTTCAGACATTGTCTGAGTTTTCCTTAATAACACTGCATCTTTCACGACATAATAGAATATCATCAAAATGCGAAAAGAAATCATCAAGTGCAGTGCAACTATTTTTATCACATATGTCTCAAGGAAACAATGCAATCACTATCTTGTGAATAAATTTCAATGAAGAGAAAAAATATTTTAAAAAAGATTCAGAGGAAAGTGGAACTCCTTTGTCAAACAGATGTAGTAAATATTTTAAATAGACAAAGCAGCACAAAAATGTAGGCAAGTAACTATGAAGAATTAGAAGACAAAAAAGCAAAGGAAGATAGCAATAGCTTAGCGAACCTGTCCAAGAGGCTAGGAAGGATCACTCATGAAAAGATTCATAATCAGGAGAAATTTGACAATCAAAAGATAAGGTTCCTATGACTTCAGTTCTGGAAACAGAGACAATGGCAGGACTGCTACATTTTACTCCTTCCAGAAATTTTTACCATACAGATTTAGCAAGATCACAAGACTGGAAAGGTAACAGTCAGTTTTGAAATGACAGCTAGAAATACTTTGGTGAAGAGGGAAAATTACCCAGCAAAGTCATGACATTACAAAAACATTAATTCCACTGGCAGCAATTTAAGACACAGAGATGTCAAAGACAGAAAGAATGGAAAAAGAACAAACTCTCAATAAAAAATCCTAGAAAAAAAGGGATAATAGAAGCTAAAGGCTTTAAGAAGATGCAAATCATGGAGGGACTACTTAATAAATTTCAGCTTTAAATCAAACATGCTGTAGTTTATAACTGCTGTAACTTGCTATCATGCTTACTGCAATACTTTCACAGATGCCTAATTACTATAAATCCCAGGATCAGAGGGGAAGGTGTGAAAAGCACATGTCCTCTTACTAATCAGAACGACCAAGCTGACTTTCTTCCTAATGAGAAGTACAGTAGCTATGGAAATACAGCTGGCAGGAGTGAGAAAATTAAGGGAAAATAAAGGAGAAGCTTAAATAAGCTTTAAAAACATTCAGGGCTGTTCATTTTTTTTTTAATATAGGTCATTTTACACAAAGAAAGATTAATACTCACTTTGGTACCTTTAGGTCCCATTATACCAGTTATACCTCTGATACCTAGGATGCCCTGAGAAAGAAAAGTATATTCAAATTATGCTTAAATGTTTTCATCAGAACTGCCCTAGCTTTCAGACAGAACACTCAAGAGTTCTACACCATTGCTTTCTGCTTATTTTACTATTTTCTTAGTATAAAAGGAAAAATCCAGCTGTTGCTGTGTTAGAATACTTAATGTACATGGTAACATGATATTTTACTAATTTAAGATTTTAAAAATAATAAAAAGTAATCTGGCTGAATTATAAAACCACAAATAAAAAATATAGATATAAAAGAAATATAAAATATAAATATAAAATCGTAAGGCTGAAAAACCCCACTGATTTCTTTTCTTGATTACCACAGAGTTGAAGCACTCTCACCATGCAGCTTGTGTGAGAGGAACATATGAAGGTCAGATTTGCAAAAGTGCTAAGTTGTCTCAGTGGGGTACAGGACAGATTCAGGAGAAATGTACCATCAGACTTTACAGAATTCCAGAGGCAAATAAAACAGGGCAAGGTTTTTGAGACTGGAAGTGCTAAGTTTATATGCCCACCATACCGGAGAGACCGAACTCAGCAGACATCCTGGTGCAACAGGATGTATCATTCCCCTTCAAAATACAGTCTCATGGAAAACTGGCTTCTACTTCCTCCTTTTCCCAAGAGACTGAAACTACACAAGGTGTCTCCTCCTTACAGAGACCAAACACTCAGCCACAATATGTTTGTTCTGCAGCAAGGAGAACCCACTACAACTGTTAATGAAACAGCTACAGGCACTTCAGTGCAGCGTAGGCAAACCTACTCCTTGAACCAGACTCTACACTGGCAGCCTTTACTTGCTACTAACAAAGTTACATGGAATCTTGCACAGAATAGTTAATGCCTTCTCAGCCCAAAACATGAGAAAAATCATGATAATGCAACAGTGACAACAGCAGCCCATCGAGGGAGACAACCACAGTCTAATCCTGCTCCTAAGATCAGAGGTGGAAGTAGGCACACTGTGGTGTATTGACTGCTTGCTGTCAAAAGCAACACCTCTCCCAGAGGTGCCTATCATGCAACTCTTCTTGTCAGTGTAACACACAGGTTGGATTGCACGTGCTGGATGCTTAATCCCTTCCATTCATTCATGTAAAGAACATAAAAGAAAACACAATGGAATCTACAGCCTCTCCATCTGTGCCTCTAAAGCATCCTCTTTTCCATAGGTTGTCTATCTGACACCACTTTCTGCATATTATGAATCCTGCATTTTAATTAAAAAAAAAATATTTTGAAGCTTGTTTGTAAGGTCAACAACTGGTGATACAATGATATGTTGTGAGTAATGCTTTAAAAAAAATGTCAATCTTTAATTGTTTTTTAATTCTACTGTGCTATTTCATGGTGATGAAAAACTCTACAAAACTGAGTTAAATTAATTGGTACCCACAAGCCTTTAAGACAGCAGAAGTTGGTTCTTGCACAAGTACTTTGTCTGCACCAGGGTCTCAGGGATACTTTTTTCAGGATCAAACATAAGAGGGAACACACACCTTCCTTTACTTAGCCTGTTCTTTATGTTTCTCTAGTCATAATCCAGAGGTTTATGTTGTCTTATGCTTATATTCATAGGGAATTTTGTAATTTAGGATTTGGATGTCCATGCATCAAAGTAAGCTGCTGTGTAATATCACATGTGGCCATCAATGGCATTAAATAGTTTCACATCTGAGAAAAAATCATAAGACCTAATCAGAAAATAGACCATAGAAATTAAAGGTGGTTATGCCTATATCTCTTACTTAGAATGGCCCCTTTATTATTTTCCCTAGCCCTTTTCAGCTGCAGAAACCATGACAACTGCTCACAAGGAACAAGCTGAGGAGGTATGTGCCAGAACTAAGCACAGTGAAACAGGACAAGAAAATAACTCCAAAATCATAGGTGATTTATCCAAAATCATATGACTACTACTTCATCCTCAAGTTGGCTACTCATCCTCATTGCTACTTCTCTCTCTTAGCTAAGTCTGAATTTTACAGTTGATCATGTTTCAAACAAACACTAGCTTTGCAAGGATGAAGTCAAAGTCATCAAAATTATGGAAAGAAAGGCCAAGAAAAAGAAAATCCAACTATTTTCACAATCTAAGCACAACACAAAATTTAGGACATGAAATAGTTTTTAAAATTAGCCTTCCCCTGGAACTATATAGAGCTTTGTGCCGAGTGATAATGTAGCTTTTTGGAGGGACTTAAATTATTTTACTTTTATTCACAGAAAATATGGCAAAATAAAGTGAAAGATGTATGAAGATATTATAGTATCTGGTTTCTTACAATACTAAGGATAAAAGATATGACATACTGAAGCAAATGGTTAACACTATTTAAGAGGAAATACTTTACTGGAGGGCCTTGAGCTCCCACTTCACCGATGGGTCCTTGATCCCCTTCTTCACCCTGGGAAAGCAAAAGGAATACATGGGTAGCTAATCCATGCCATGCATATTGTTCTCTCACCATACAAGGTGCATTTACTCATTAGAGTTTTCTGTCACCATGTCGTGCTTGAAAGCAATCCAAATGAAGTCACACTACTTTCTCAGACAGATACTCGTTCAGGTTCATGTGCCATTCAACTCTTAGTCAATAGGGTAATTTCAAAGAAACCTCAAGGTAAAGAATAATTATACTTTACTCTTAATCTGTCATTCCATATTTTCTTGACATTAATCTCTTCAGATTTTCTTGTTCTTCTAGATTAAAAGTGCAGTGAAAGTATTTTCATGCACGTGAATGTACCGAATATGCTAGCTGATCTGCATCACAATACCACATTGCACTTCTGAATTTTCTGAAAATTAAAATGGAAAAATGCCTTATCTGGCAAAACGCCTCCTTGATTAGATAGTAACCTCTGTTACACAGTGATAGTGCACATTAATCGAACGCCAGTACATACTGCCAGTTTAATTTGTAAAAAGGAATAAGACAACTGCTCAACATCCCTGAAAAAAAAAAAAAAAAAAGAAAAGGGCAAGCTGTTTCTAATAAATTAATAATCTTTTCCATATGCTTAGGAGTGCAGGGTTTTTTTTAAAACTTTTCTCTGATGCTTTGTCCTCCAGCATTGAAGCATGGACCAAGGCAGTGCAAATCTTCTGAATTTTTCACACAAATATTTCCCAGGGAAGTTGTGGATGTCCCATCCCTGGAGGTGTTCAAGGGCAGCTTGGATAGGGCTCTGAGGAACCTGGTCTAGTGGAAGGTGTCCCTGCCCAGAGCAGGGTGGTTGGAACTAGGTGATCTTCAGGGTTCCCTTCCAAACCATTCTATGATTCTATGAAGGTTATATAACAAGGTTAATTCAAATGAAACACCTTAGGAGTTCACTTTTCAGTTTTCAAGCTGAATTGGACTTGGCCCCTCTAGTTACAATCATTCTTTGCTTATGAACTTACACAGCGTCCTTTCCCTCTCAAATATATTTTTCTCTCTTATTCTTCACAGAACTACTCCTCTGTGCCACAGAACTATTAACTTGGTAAGTCCACGGAATTAAGTGCATTTAAATGTTTGGAAGTTTTTCAATTAATAAATATAACTTCAGTTATTGCCATGATTTCCATAATAATGATCAAAATAAACATGAAGATGAGTATGACCTCTGCATCATAATAAATATAGAGTACAAGTGAATAAAGAATAGAGACGTGCCTTTGGTCACTCTGGAGCATTATAATGTGTAATACCACTTCATGCATTCTATTAAAACAATTAATAGTTCTAACAAAGCGTAATTTTTTGAAGAAGAAGGGGCTAAACTATCATCAGCTTGCTCAAAAGAAGAGTAGTTTTTCATCTTTTTTTTTTACCTTATAACCTTGTTTTCCTGGTTCACCAGACTCTCCTTTTGAACCTTTTTGTCCCTAAAATAAATGTAAAACCCCCAAAATAAATAAATAAATATTATTCAAAATTAAAGTACAGTTTTATAAAACAGACACAGAGTGCTGAGAACTATCTTGCTGTTCCCTCCCAAACCCCATTCACCAGCTTCCCCATCTGCCTAGGAAACACCATACATTAAGTACCCCGCTCAAAAACATATGCTTTTGGATCTAACACGATCTAACATTCTATGCATGTTAGTACTTATTCTTAGGTTACCCCATAAAAATTTCCTCAGGTTCCTAGAAACCAGTGAAGAATGCATAAAACCAAAAATCTTCTCTAAAATGAGACCCAAAATGTGTTCATTTCAACTTATTAGGTTATAGGTCTCCCAGGAAGAGAGAAAGAAGGAAAAAATACTAAGGATTTGTGGGAATACTTGGAGTTTCTGGAGTCGGACTACAAATGGTCCAGAAAGTGAATGAAACAATCCTTCACATACTCTAATCCTTTAAAGACCACATATAAATTTTACCCTGAAGATTAAAGCAGCAGCAAGAGACTTCAACAGAAGAGGTTATTTTAGCAGTCAAGAGTTGAATAACCCTAAACAACTACACTGATGTAACCTTTTTTGAAATTAACAGTGAAGTGCCCTTTTGTCAAGCCAGCAATTAACCCCTCTAGTGCACTGAGACAGCATCTCTATAAGGAATGTTTGAACAAACAAGTTCTCTTACCTTCATTCCCATTAAGCCAGCATGCCCTGGGCGGCCAGGTGGACAAGCATTGGGACACTGGGAAAGCATTCACACAGTTACTACCACATAGGTTAATTAATGCTGTCTGAAATTGGTTATAAAAACACATGGAAAACAATCTTACCAACAGGTCACCATCCTGCAGGCCAATTGTCCCCTAAATTAAATTAAATTAATCAAAGTCAGTAAAAGATAAATAAGCAGTCCTGACTCATTAGGCAATACAGTCATCAGACAAAAGAGAAACTACTATGTGGGGACGGAGGAACACACAACGACCTCACAATCAATAAGCGCGTTCGATTTATTATCTATAAGGCAGTCATTTTATAACATGTGTAATAAGCTCATACATACTGCAAAAGCTAAGCTCAGGATTGGTTGGCCTTTAATATTGCTTACATATTGCTGAAGTTATGTCTGGAGTTTTAGTCCCTTTTTCTTT